TTCGAACGGTGTCGAATTCTTGAGCAATTCTCTTAGAGGATGGTTTTCCGTTGCCAGGTTTGGGATGAAGCGGGAAACGTAAGTAACGAGTCCAAGAAAACTTCTCAATTCTTCTTTACTCCGTGGTGCTCGACATTGAAGAATAGACCGAACTTTGGAATCGGTTGGAAGAACGCCTTTTTCTGAGAGCTTGTGTCCAAGAAATGTAATTTCTTTTTGCTTGAACCTACATTTCTGCATGTTGAGCAACATCCCATGTTCTTTCAGGACTGAAAGAGTTTTCCTTACAGCGTCGTCGTGGTCTTCTTCGGAGGTTCCCCAGATCAGAATGTCATCAATGAAGACACCTGTATTCGGGCAGTTCGACAATATGCTTTCCATTAAATTTTGAAAGAATTCTGGAGCATAGTTGACTCCAAATAGTAGTCTTGTATATCGGTAAAGTCCCCAATTAGTCACAAACGTTGTTATCTCTCGACTTTCTTCTGCCAGCTCGACTTGATGGAATGCTTGCTTGATATCTAACGTAGTGAAAATGGTGGCACCATTGAACTTTGGAAGGATATTTTCGAACACCGGGAGCGGATGATTTAGTCGCTGAATTGCTTGATTGGCGCGTCTCATGTCAACGCATAGACGTAATTCCCCATTGTCTTTGAGAATGGGAACCAGTGGTGACACCCAAGATGACGGTTTCGTTACACGTTCGATTATACCCATCGCTAGTAGTTCATCCAGTTTGCTTTTTACTTGGTCCAGTAGGGGAATTGGACAACGTCTTAGAGGCTGAATAACTGGTGTCACATGTCGATTAATAGGCAGGATTAGTTGAAAATCTCTGATTTTAGGGAATAATTCTACCGGTTTTACTTGGTTAACGTCATCTTTAAAGGAACTAGGTAGACCAACACGCAAAAGACCAAGTTCTCGAGCTGTTATCTTACCCAGCAACGCTTGTTGGCCTCCCTGAATCACATAGAAGGTTGTATTGGTGGAAATGGTTTTATTTCCATCACGTACTTCGATAACTGCATCAAAGACAGTTAACAGGTCCAAAGGTACTCTGCCATAGGCCAAGAACTTTTTGGAACTATCAAACCTTTCAGAATAATAGTTAGCCTTACTTAGCTTCATGAGCTCCCATGTTCTGTCGTCTATCAAATTGAACGTAGATCCAGAATCAATAAGCATTTCTATGCTGACTCCTCCGACGCGACATTTCAGGAGTTCATCATTTTCGTTGTCAATTTTGTAAACGGAAAATTCTTCTGGTTCACCTGTTTCATCTGCCAGCTCTACATTCATAACGCTCTTAAATCGTTTGCTCTGAGCCGCCTGCCCAGAATGCATGGGCGAAAATCTTCGCTTATGTGTCTCTGATGACTATACAATATAAAATATTTAAGGAAATTACAATAAATCATTAGGATCTAACTCTACAAAACTGAATAGTATTCTTACATTCCTCGCATTCTGTTTGCACATCGATTGAAAGTGACCTACATTTCCACATCGATGACACTTCCTGTCAATGGCAGGACACTTCTTTGGTGTCACATGCCTGAACCGTCCACAACGATAACACCTATCTTTATATGCGGGTAGCCCGGAGTCTTCTGGCTTCCGTACAAACAAACGATTGATTTCTGCCGGATGGTTGAACTTAGGTTTCATTTGATCAGCTTGGTAGATGACAGACTGATAAGCATTGACGATTTTTGAACAGACGTCCAAAGTTAAATTGTCTTTTTCCAGCAACTTACGACGCAATTCATCAGAAGCATTTTGAATAATTTTATCAATTATGGCTGTTTGACGACATTCATGCTCCGTTTTGCCAAACGAGCATTTCTCTGCTTTTTGCTGTACTCTGAGCAGAAACTTCTCTATGGGCTCATCCTTTTCTGGTTTCATAGTCCAGAATTGGAACCGCTCAAAACTATCATGGTGCTTTGGTGCGAAATGCTCTGAAAGCTTATCTTTAGCTGTCACATACGGGTCACTTCCATCCAAGCCATCAACGTCTGCTCCAGGAATTCCATAAAACACTGACTGAAGCTCAATGCCACCCATGGCCAGCATTTGAGCCTTACGACTGTGGCCATCCAAAATGTTTGTGGCCGTCATGACATTTTCAAACCACCTTATCCATGATGTCCAAGCACTCCTCACTTCAGTTGCCGGTAAGTGGGAGTACTTAAACTGTGGTAAATTATATGACGCTGGGCTGAAGAAAGACATTGTCTGAATAATCGGTTCGTCGTTTTCCATGATGGCCTAGTACAAAAAATTTATTTATTTATTTATTGTTCACCGCCTTCGACCACATGGTCGCACAAACTGATTGATTGGCAAAATGATTGTTTTTTTTTTTCTTTCATAACTTAATTTTTTTTCAGAAATTTATTTCAAATCACGTTGCTTCAAACACACCGTAGTCCTTAAAATTTCACAGGTCTTGTCCAGTACATAACAATAAAAATACCCATCACCAATAAACACAACATTAACTACAATAACTTAATCACGCAAACGTCTATCACAGATTGTAATCAGTGATTTCACCATCGATTTCAATAGTGAATGTAATCATAGCGTTGATAACGCTCTCCGTGAATTTAATCACAGTGCCTGATGCACTCTCGTGAATTTAATCACATGCCAAGTCAGATCCATGCTCTAACCGCAGCTACCATCACATATGAGTCAGTTTATTCGAGCATTATTTTTTCAAATTATCAACCAAAACCGTTGACTACACAATCTAACTAGAGCTTCCAACAGAAACAAGGCTATGATTCAGTGTTTGATATCGAAAGAAAAACTATGATTTTTTTCCCCACTGCTTACCATTCTTTTAACGGTGTTTGTTGTAGTTAGTGTATGCAAGTTTTCAAAATCTGCTCAAATTCGGCTCATTTCCAAAGTAATTCTTTTTTTTCTGCATGACCAACAAATTCGAGTACATTCCAACCAATACTATTCAGCTATTCCAGCACTAACACAAGTTTGGCAATGGAAATGAATCATTGACAATTATAAAGTCTCACACATCCATCGCTCAGCTGTTCAACATGAATGGTGTGAATGGAACAAGACCATCTCTAATTGGACATTATTAAATAAAATTCTAATAAGACTACACGAGATAGTCATATCATTTCTTTTTATTTCACTGTTTAATAGTAATGAGAACTGGTCGTTGAGAAAATTAAAGTTACATACCTTAGTTGTCCGTTAGCATCAGTTAAAATACCTTACCCCTCTCCTAACGCATCAAAATTTGCAGTCAAGACATCCTTTGCGGGCTTACTCCAATTTCAACGCAACGCCAGATGGAAGAATTCCAGCTAGTAGTCTTCTCTACATTAACACTAACACACATGAATAACATTTCTCTAATCACACGTATGGGTACATCTTTTGCATTTCTTCCGACACTGGGGTATCGGGGTCTATCTCTCACTTTCTCTAGTTTCTTCTATCAACACCACCACTGTTTACCACCATTTTATTATGGCGTGTTCTTTCCACGCAAGCAGCAAGATGACCTTGAACCATTCTTATACAGATTCACATTTAATAAATTTTGCCTCATGCAAAACACTTATTTTTTTTTTTTACCGTTGCATTAAAGATCACGAAATTAACATAAACGTAGTACATTCATTAATTAATTTTTTCCATCACCATTTTTTTTTCTGACCGATTCCAAGATGGCGGACTACGGCGTATTTGATTGCGATTTGAAGCGAATCACTTTTCTAAGCTATATCACACATTTCATATTCCACTGAAATAATCACCTGCTATTCTTGAAATAATTACCACTTTAGAACATTGAAATTTAAATTCACAAAATTATATCCGCAAAACTTCCACTTTTTTTTTTCCTCGTCGCCACGTGTGATGCCGAGTATGTACGTCCAATGTAGCGAAGTCCGTACAATGGAATGACGAGTGGCCCATTGGATGGTAGCTATATTCTCCCCATAGAGAGTGACGACACTCACACTAGTATAATGCGTGCAGTATATATAAAGACTCAGATTATAGATCACCACACAGTCCATACGCAAATGCCCGCACCTTGGCCTTAACCCCGGCCATAAGATTCTGCACAACCTGTGAATCAACCGTTTTTTGCATGTAAACCCATACTTTCTTCAGTTCCTCGACTGTCTTCACTACCTTAGGTCGTTTAAGAAGGTGCTGCTTCATAATCGCCCAGTACTTCTCGATGGGGCGGAGCTCCGGAGTGTTGGGAGGGTTGAACATTTTCGGCACGAAATTGACCTTATTGTCCGCATACCACTTCAGCACGTCCTTGGAGTAGTGGCATGAGGCCAAATCCGGACAGAAGATTGTTGGGACGTTTTGGGCCTTCAGGAGAGGAAGCAGCCGCTTTTGGAGGCACTCTTTTATGTACACCTGTCCGTTCATCGTGTCCTGGGTCACGAAAGGTGCACTCCGCTTCCCGCACGTGCAGATGGCTTGCCAAACCAGGAATTTCTTCGCAAATTTGGACATCTTCTGAGTGCGGACATGCTCCGGAACGCTGAACTTATCCTTGGCCGTAAAAAACAGGTTGCCGGGGATCTGTTTGAAGTCGGCCTTCACATATGTTTCGTCGTCCATGATGCAGCATTCAACTTTCGTCAGCATGTTGAGGTACAACTTCCTGGCACGGGTTTTGGCGGACTTGTTCTGCTTCTCGTCGAGATTAGAGGCCTTTTGTACCTTGAACGTTCGAAGCCCAGCCTTAGTTTTGGCCTTCTGGACAAAACTTCGGCTTAGGTGCAGCTTCTTAGCCACATCCCTAACGGAGGCGTTCGGATTTCGGTTGAAGGCCCCAACTACGCGGTTGTGATTTTTGGTGTTGTACGGAATACTTTTTCCTTCACTTCTGGGCTTCCGATCGGTGGTCAACCGTTCCTCGAACCGCTTAATCACTCGCGACACCGTGGAATTCGCGATTCCCAACGTTTTAGCGATGGAACGATGCGAGAGATCCTTGTTCTCGTGATGAATGCGCAAGATTTTATCACGCACGAGCTGTTCTTTCGACTCCATTTCCGCGAGTTTTGATCACAGGACTTTAAAACTTGCAGGATGTAAATAATGCACTATGAACTAAATCCACCCAAATTTTCATTAAATTCTATCCAACGGTTAAAAAGTTAGAGAAATTTCATAGTGTGGCAATTTCATCGTGGACACCCTTTATTAGTATAAAAAGAAACAAACGAAAAAATATAATTGTATTAGGAAACCAGGCAGTAGAAAAGTGTCAACGAGTTAAAGATTTAGGAGTTATAGTTGATTCAAAACTAGCATTCAGCTTTGTATATAATACAATTATCGACAAAGCAAATAACATACTTGGCTTTATCAAACGATTCAGTTACAACTTTCATGACCCATATACAATAAAATCACTGTAAATGTCATATGTAAGATCAATACTTGAATATTGCAGCATAGTTTGGTCACCTTTTTCATTCACGCATGAGGAACGATTAGAATCAGTGCAAAAGCAATTCTTATGATTTGCTCTTCGTAAATTAGGTTGGACAAGATTTCCTCTTCCATCTTATGAAGCACGCTGCATGCTCATCAACATCCAAACATTGAAAGCGCGTCGTGAATTTGCAATGGTTTCGTTTGTGAACGATATACACCCTTAATCTAGCTCGGTAAAATATCCAACAGCCGATTATCTCGGCATTTACTTTTGCTGATATCTCTGCAAAATATGTGTTTGTTAGCTGAGATCTCAGTAAATTTTTGTGTGTTAACTGAGTCTCGGAATTGTTTTACCAAATCTCAACAAAATAAATTGCAGAACTACTCGGCTGTTGGAATCTCGGCGAAAAAATTTAAGTGTGTAGTATCGCATCGGATTGACTCAGTAGAACTGTTATCAAAGCTTAATTTTTGCATACCTTCTCGGCAACTGCGAACTCGAAATATATTTACTACAAATCACTATCGCACAAATTATGCCAAATTTGATCCACTAAATCAAATTATCACTGCTACTATTGATTTTATAATGACAGAAACCAGATTAAAGCAGTATTTTAATTCTATTCATAATTTTAACACATGACTTGTAACTTGTAAAAAATGGTCTACATCTGATTGACTACAATAAATAAATAAGCCATTTTTGGTGTTTTTAAGTCCATTTTGACGTTTAAATGATAGTTATCGTTATCTAAAAAGATTATTATAAGCGTTGTGTGGCCGATGGTCATTTTAGCGATTTTAAAGTCATTCAGCCAATTTAGTGTTTTTGCGCCATTTTGGTAATTGGACGTTAGAGGAGTTAGGCATTGTGAGGTGATTTTTTGTAGTTTGACGTTTTAAAGGATAATTTAGGGTTTTCAAGATTTTGTTGAGGGTTTTCAATACGTTTTTGAAGGGTTAAACAGGTATTAAATAAAATTCGAAGTATGTCTCAACTAAGAGACAGGCCTATCAAGAAGACCGTTAGTTTTGATGAATAATCAAGATTGCAAAAATTGCCTGAGGTCATATTGACTCCAAAGGGATAAAAGCCATTTCATCGTTTGGAGGCCATTTTTTGTGATTTGACGCCATGTTTTGCCTTTTGAAGCTCATTTTGGCGTTGCCTGTTGACTCGAAGTTAAAATACTGCTTTGTCGTTTTGATACTACTCATGCGTTTCAAGGACTTTTTCATTGTTTAGCATTATTTATTCCTTACTATTTGGTGCTTTCAGCCAATGCCAATCTAATTTTGGAACCAATGTTTCTAATTGGAAAATAATGCAGAAGGTAAATTTAATCATTATATTCTACTATCAAAGTTACCCGGATTAGCAATGATACTCCGTTGTACGGTACTTAATTCTAAATTTTTTTGCTAGGCCGTCTATAATCAGCCTATCTGGATTAAGCTTTATCATGGTGGTAGTCGTGTAATTTTTCCACAACCAACGACATTTTGTTGTAATCACGAAACGCACAGATTATAACAGAGGCTAGGCGTACGCCTAAAGTAAACAATCGCACACATTTGATAAGCATATTTGTTTACATCGACACCTACCGGTTTTTACAGCATAATGATGAAACTCCCTTTTTTATACACATCAACCTTCTTCAGCTGGCCGGCGTACTTCTCTTGAACGAAATACGCGGCGCGCATGAAAAAGTAATCTAATTGGCATAACCGCTGCTCCCCGCTGAATGTACAGAGCAGCGGCGCCTGTGCTTCTTTCGGCTTTTCATTTTCACTGCTATCGTTGCCCTGAGAGTTGCACAATCTGTAAAACGGTTCCGCCACTTTAAACGGCTATTGTTGCTGTCGTTGTTGTTGCTTCGATTTAAATCGACCTCTTCGATTTGATGGAATGACCTGTGGCTTGACGATGTTGGTCGCCTATCATTCAGGAATTTTGACAATTTTTCCCATAGCGACGAGCACTACTAGACTGGACTGAACTAGACACTAGACACTGGACACGAACCGGGGGACCCGCATTGAGTGCAATCTAATAAAAGGACTCTCGCCGGGCAAATTGCGAGACCGGGCTAATTGTTCTCTATTGAGCAATCTGCCCCATGTCTGCCCGTGTCTCGCCAACGTCCTTCTGTCCCTCGTCCGTGGGTTGGTTAGCCCGTTTGAACTCAGTCAAATTCGATATCGGTTCGAGGCCGGAGCGTTTAATTGCTATTGATTAGTGAAGATTTGCGACGTATTGTTACGAATCGTGGTGCGAGACGGGCATTTTTCATTCACTGGGTTCACCGCATATGATCGGGGGCTGTTTTTCATCCAGTGACTGAAACAAGAGATTTTTGGACTACAATTTGCTAAATAAAACTGCAAATGGAGAATTCTTTTCCATTGGCCAGTGGAGTCGGTCCTGGGACAATCGCATCCAGCAAGCAATCGAACTTCCTATTCAACTGCAAAAAGCTAATATGTACGAGGTCTGCCCGGAGTCGGCGACATCTCAATTAACAACTGTGGAAGTGCGCTAAGAACATTAAGTTGAGAGCCGGCAAAATGCTCGCTACAGAAGCTTGCATCCCTGAAGCTATTAGAACAGCCCTAAAAATCTTTCTACTTCAATAAAGTTCTCTAAACTTCTCTAAACTTTTTAAAATTTCCTCAACTTAATAACTTAACTTAATCGAGCTGTCTTGAAGTTCTTTGATCTATCCTGAAGTTTCTGTAATTTCCCTGAAGTTTTTGAAACTTCTTTGAAGCTCATGGAACTTCCTTTATAATCTCTCAATTTCCTTGAACTGCTCTGGACGTGCCTGAAGTATGCAAACTGATTTGTATATTTCAGAGGTTAGTTCGGAGTTGAAAATCATTAAAAAATCCCAGTGACTTCGGATCCTCAAACATTTTCGATGTCCTGAGGTGGTTTTTCCGATCAGACATATAATGGCGTTCGACTCGTGTCGTGCAAGTCACACTTGCAGTTTTGCAGAAATTTCCTAGAGCAGGATCTTACATCATTACTCTCAAGTATAAAATCCTTAAAACTGTTCCTTTGAACTTTTTTCTAAGAGTTTTAAAAGTTGCACCACATACTGACCTTTGGATTTCTGTGTCCGGGTCCTTACAATATTTTCAATGTCTGAATTAACCAGATAATTTATAGATTTCGGAAAGATAGTTCTTAACAGGACATTTTCTTGAAAATCGTTAACGTTTGCACTGTATATTTACAATTATAGACGTCAATTCTGACGTTATCTACGGTTATCGATTAACAAACCAGGCAACTCTTAAAATTGACTATACAATTAATCATATAGTTGAGAGGTTTTTGGACTTTCTTCTAACAGATATATTAAGAAAATGAGGCAATACATTTCGGGGTTTTGTAGGCCTATCATAGCCCTATTTTCTCGAAGTCCTCGAAGAAATCTCAAAATATATAAATTGTTCTCCATTTACGCTGGAAATATTCATAAGAAATCGCTTGGAGTTCATTGTAAATTCTCATCAGAATGTTTTCTCAAAATTCGTCAAAGATTTATTTTAAGCAATTCAATTTACCGGAATTAATGATTTATGTCCCAAGAAAAAGTTCTGGTTTTATTCAGGTTTTATCATGATCTAGTATAGCTCCCTCTTGTACAACCTCGTTTAAACTTGTTATGTTCCTTGATGTATTGTTATCATTATCATGTTCGTCAAACCGGGGAAACGTTGGATAACATTAATTTAAATTCTGGCCACAGATCTTTAAACTTTCCTGCAAGTCTGGACATACCTGAATTTATCGGGACTGTCAGGTTGGCCAGCGAACCGGAAAATCGGGAAAACCGTGAATTTCGATAACAAACCAAGGAGAAATATACTTTGTAAAAATATCTGTATCTTGAAAATATTTCAAGACCGTTAGACTGGACTTGATCTTCTGGATGCAATCACTTCGAAGGACTAAATAGAGATGAAGGAATTTCAAAGAGAATTTAGAATGAATTCTAGAAATAAGAAACAAGGTAGGGTAGTGCGCTTCATCGACGTAATCGCCCATTTCCGTTCTATGGAGCAGAAATCATCAATAATATCCATGATTTCACTGTACACAAATCAAAACTACGTTTGTTTTGATGCATTACCTCATAAGCTACAACACAAAGCCTATACAAGTGCGTTGTATGAATATTTAAACTCATTGTTCGCAAAACAAAAGAAGCACTCCTAGCAAATATATATTTTTTGTCTTCAATCGAATACGAAGAAAAACCTAGAAAAACCAATGGCGTTTCAATGCGTTAGGATGGAATTGATACTCGTAGAACGAATTTGCAATCAAGAAGCAGCGTTAGATTTCTTACAATATCTCAATAATTTGTGATTCTTTATCAAATCCAACGGTACGTATAGAAAGGTAAATAAATTTGAAAGTCATCTATAGCCGAATCACTCCATTTTTGAGTTCATATCCGTTCGACACAGAGAGGTTAAGTGTGGGTCAGTGTTGGAAAAGTTCGCGATATTTCACGAAGTTCACCAAGGGAAAAGTTCGCGAGTCATAGGGAACTTTGATGAACTTTTCCATCACTGGTGTGGGTTATGCTTAGTAGGACGGAAATTAGATTCAAA